TTTCAACAGGCTCTCGCCTCTATACAACCTCAAAAGATCTCCCATTTTTGTCTCTGCAATCAAGCTTAAGATAAAGCAGACAAGGCTTCATTGAAAAAATCATGATTTAACCGTTCTAAAATATTAATGTCAAGCAGAGACATCGTGATAGGATGAAGTGGCGATTTCAATTTGCGGCAAAAATCTCAGGACCAAGTACACTCAGAGAAGCCTCCATACATTTCCTACAGCAGGGACTAGTGAACCCATTCAAATTAACGTGTGAATGAAACTGATGATCTAGCTAGTGATCTGATTATTCATATATTAGGTTGGTGCACCTTTTGCAAGTTCTCGCTTGGACGTGTTGTAACTTTCTAGAAGATCTACATTTTTGAATGCGATAAAGACCATCAAAGGCAGCAAAGCTTTCGCATCACAGCGCATATTCAGATATACGCATATGTAGACTAGGAATATCTGCGAAAAGAAATAACTGATGAGTTTTCCAGCTTTTTTCAACATTTTGTAGGCCTCAAACTCTCACATTATGGAGCTTTTTCATTTTTTGCGTACTAGACAATTATGGTTGATTGCACGAAATCGCCCACATAGCAGGCCAAACGCCTGGAAGCGTATCTGACACGCGGCTAAGTTGGTGGCCTATGGGCTACGTTTAGCATTGTGGCTTGATGACTCATGCGTCGGCAGCCGCGAGATCCAAGCTCGCGCCGTCAACCTAGGGCATAGTTCTCCTGTGATACTCGCCGCGATTTCAGCAAAACTCAGTGATGTCGCGTCGCGCGTGCTGCACAGGCGACAGGGAGATCTTGAGAGTTTTTTCATAGATATGCATTGATGTGTCAGCTTGTTTTTGTTTTTTTGGGGGGGGGGGGGGGAGAGAGAGAGAGAGAACTAATTCTCATCGGAATTAGATGAAAAGAAAAACTTCGAGTTTTAACCCCCTTTTCGTAATTATGAATTGTCGTGTGACAGGTTTCCCTGTTTTCTTGGATATAATCTAATTGGTTCGTTTTTAGGTGTATTTTAAAGCTCCGTTACCCGCAGAATTTAGAAGAATTCTTGTTTGATCAATGCATTAGCAAGTAACAGTTCTGTTTGTAATATTTTATACGTTTTCTGGTCGTGAAACCTGGGCATTGTCTTGTAATCATGAATTTTCTTGTGAGCCACGCAGGTTTGTTAAGATATTTATTAGGTCTACGACGAATCGCGACGACGAATTCGCGAGCACTATGCCCGTTGCCTCAATCGGGCACGTCATGACCTCGCCTTCTTTACATTACGACATACTTCGGTGGACGCTCGATTATAGCACCTTTCCAAAATCAAGTTGCCAGGCGAGCATAAATGATAACAGTGATGGCGCCGAACTTCATTCCATCGCGTGTTCTTTTTTTATGAACAAGTGTTCATTTTAAATACGATGAAATTAAAGACATAGTATTTCATGACTTTTTCAAACAAAAGTTTTGCGTCGCCTTTCATGCACTTCAACGATAACGGCTTGGCTTGAGCCATCAGTGTTTATGGCGCAGCGGAGTAGAAGCGGACTACTTCTAAGGCTGAAGTCCTGCAGCCGCTAACTCCATAAATTCGAAATTACGACAAGCTTTACTCTTCCTTCCCACTCCTCTCTCCGTTTCTCTCTTTCAAAAACACATCGCCTTAACTATCTTGTACACTAGCCTTAGGCAGTAATGTGATATATTCACATTGTTACTAAAGCATTGAAATTTGAGTGTACCATGGGAACTGTATCATCTCACATGTGTACTGTCCCACTGCAACTTGCTGTGTTAAAAAAGGCTGCGCAAGAGATTATCAGATGTTAAGGTTAAGGAACAAATTTGGGGTCGTCGTTTAGAGGCCTAAATTTCCATCTCCTTCCACCTTCTCATTGCAGCTTTTATTCTTTATTTTTATTTTTGTTCTTGTTAGAGATGCATCATACCTAAAATAAAGTTCCAGAGTATAGTATAGAGGTTGAATAAAGCTTTTTTAGTTAAATTACAGCAAAAAGAGATTTGAGTAATGCTCTAGCAGCTTTTTATAATACTCACATTTTGAATCACTTGTTGCATAAATAGATCCATTCAATCTGATTTCAACTAGTCTATGCCTAATCTCAATATTCATACTGCGGCTTACATGCTTATTGTTATGATCAGCTGGGAACAAAAGACGTAGAAAATTGTGCGCTGTTACAGATATGTTTGAGTCATCTTGCTTGCGGACCTTTAAATTTACGAGGGCACTTTGAATGTCCAAGTTATAATTGCGTAAATGTGGCTCGAAACTTTGAATCGCGCCAATGGAAAAGAGAAAGCACCTGTGACGCCGGCCACTTGCTTGCACAGAATATGGGCAAAGGTGGAGAGACTATTTGTTTACGCACGGTTTTGCGGTATTTTCTAAGCACTGCAAGCACACCATAACACCCAGGCTCTACTCGATGTACGACATTGCGGCATGCGCATTCTGACACTGAGAGAATCGGCAGCAGGGCTGCGACGGGAGAGGAGCGGAAAAGGGAGGTTTTCGTATCTCTTGGCATTTTTTCAAAGATTTTATTGGGTTGGCGGCTGCCACGGGAAGACCCCTTACAATTTGTCACGGGGCTCTTCTATTCTGTTCCGCTACACACCTGGCGACCAATTTTGCCAAGCCACTACTAAAGAACATGGTGTTTGACGGAGGCGAAGCGAGCTTCTTTTTTGTAAAGGATGTGGGTACTATCACTTTTCTACTTTCAACGTTTCTCAAAATGACACATGTCTATAAAACCGAAATATAAAGGAATAATCTTTGATGCAATCAAGTTGATTTATATTCAATCAGTTTGTTCAATGCTAAGAAGGGAGGACATTCATCCGCCTAATGTAAGTCTACATGGACAGTCACAGTCGTTTTGTGCAAAGGCACTCGAGATATGGAGCAATAAATCGGTTATTTCAAGCTGCAGCATAAAAGCTATTGGGTTGTCCCAAAAGTAAACCGTATTTTTGGATAAATCACATTTTTGTTTTCTTGGCAGTTGGCGTACCATTCGATAGAGCGAAGCAAGCTCTGCAAAATGACTACCAAGGATCCGCCTAAGTCGCATTCCATGTAAAGTTTGAAGCCAAAATCGAAAAAAAATTTATTACCTGAAATTGGATTTTTGCGAAGAATAGTCATACAAAACTCAAACTTGGTCACTATACAGTCGACACATAGTAGTAGTCAAATATCTTTACTGGATTTTTTTCCGGGCTTAGAAAGCGAGAAAAAAGAGATAGTGTGAAAATGGCAAACTCCGCCCCCAGCCCCTCCCATGTATGCCATTGTATACTACAAGTCTTACTAAGTTTAACCTCAAAGCCTTACTCCTGTATGTTCTCTTATAGTTGAGAAACACCAAGTTTTACATGAAAAACCCGAAAAAGTGGCATTTTGGCATTTTGGGGCCCCCTTTGTTTCTCAATTTTGGACTTCGAAAGAAATCAACCAAAAACATTTTTCGATACTACTATGTGTCTACTATATAAGGAGCAAGTTGGAAGTCCGTAGGAAACTTCTGGAAGGAGATCTGATTTTTAGGGTAGCTGAAAAATTTTGATTTTTGGATCCAAATTTCACCTGGATAGCGACTTAGACAGTTCTTTGGTGATCATTTTGTAGAGCTTGCTTCGCCCTATCGAATGGTGCCCCAAGTCTGCCAGAAAAACAAAAACAGTTTGATTTATGCAAAAATACGGTTTACTTTTGGGACAACCTAATAGTAGCGAGCTCTGCCTCGCTGTCGCAGACAAAGGAGCTACTTGACAGCGCGAAGGATAGCTTTTGAGAACACTCAAATAGAGAAAACATTCATCGCAACTTCGCTGACTAAGAAAGTTTCAGATGAGTGGACATTTTGGGCATGCAGATCGCTATAGTGGCACTGAAACTTAGCCTTTGGTCTTGCATTACAACAGACACTTCTGGATATGGCTAGTGCGCTAGACGTGGAGTTCTTTCTCTCAAACCAAACGATCATCAAAAATAGTTCAAGGGGACTCCACGTGCCCTCCAATGAAATAGTGCAGTTGATGCTTGTTCCCTTCCAAACATTCCGTTTTGCACATTCTTCACAGATCCTACTTGAGATGTATTTCTAAAGTGCAAACACCATGTATTATCAGAAGCACAAACATTACTGGTAATGTTTCTAAACTGAAGTAAAATGTGAATGTATAGAAATCACTTTTAGTAGTTTGTACCCTCAAAGTGCAACTATTTACTCGGAAGCGGAAACATTCATTATTTGGTAATGTTTCTGGATTGAAGTAAAATGTGGATATGTGGAAACCAACTTTGTCCGAGTGGTTTCGAGACGCAGTCTGGTGCTCATAATTTCATAATTTGCATACTAACTCACGTTTGAGAGGAATTTTATGAAAAACTAGTTGACTTACCCGGCTCCGCCCGGCTCTGTCATTATTATATTCGTAATCAGCGTGCTCGATTACCCCCCTGTGCCAACTCCCAGCCCCATAGCTCAAATTTTGCAAAAAATCGATAAAATCGATATCGATCGATGACGAAAAATAGCCTATGACACCCGCCGGGGCCCGAAGTGTATGTGTGCCAAGTTTGGTCCGGATCGGTTCAGAAATGGAATTTTCTATTCGGAACATACGTACAGACATACAGACAGACATACAGACAGACAGACAAACAGACATTCAGCTTTATATATAAGATAGCAAAGGAAGGAAGTTTTAACGAAAATTCACTTTTGGAACAGAAATTTCCATACTAGGCACGCAAGACGGCGTCAACTTGTATGATTTCCTCGGAGACCCTATCCACAGACAGGAGGTGATATATGATCGAAAAGATTTAGTTATCTGCAAAATTGAACGCAAGGTAAGACTTTTGCTAGTCAGAGTGCATGAGTAAAAAATTGCAAATGTGCAAAATCATAATATACGGTCATAAGCAAAAGAGCGAACGGGCAGAAACGAGATTATTTTCTAGGCTACTTGTTCCCCACGATAACGCAAAAGATGTATCATTCTCGTACGACATTGTATCATTGCCAGCACATCACGACGTATTTCTTTCGAAAACATAATGTAGTATATCTAAAGAGGACAATTAATTGGATTGCAGAACCTTTTCTTCTGTTTGATACAACGTACTGGAGTAAACCCGATGGAGATTGGTCTTGTGATGAAGTTCATGTTTGTGTTGAAATTCGCATTACCAAGATGGAGATATCTGAATCCAATCCAGAATGTTCCATATAGATAGATCAACTCGCTGAGAAAAGTCAGCAACGATTGCCCGAGGAAACGCCGCTCACTTTGAATCATGTACATCTGTTGAGTGCCAGATTTCTGAAGAAGCAAGAACTCGTTTAAGTGAGATGTTTTTTGCTTGATGCAAAAATAATTACCATACCGTCTTCATTACAGCCACTGTAACACATATAGTAGGAAAGTCGCTGATAATTCAGTGATTAACAGCGGAATACGAGTGTAGTTATTGAGAACATAAACTCATCTTGGTATTTGCCATTTTCATCGTACCATATTTTGATCACAAGTCCAATTTGGTGGAATACACACATAACCATATAACGGAGATGGTTACACCGACAATAACGACTGTATTGGCATGTTAAGAGTTTTACTCAGCGTTATACATTCAAGCAGTCAAAATAAAATTTCTTGTATGGCTCAAAGTAAGCTTTTTTAGCTCAACGTATGGTTTGAGAAAATCGCTTAGCCAAGGCTGAGATTAGTAACAGCTTGCTATGCCAAAACTCAGAAACATTGTTCTGAAAAACAAAACAAAGACATGCCTTTGTTCCAAACAGAAGTGTCACTAATCGTACTGCTGCCAATGTCAGATTCACAGCCACTGTACGTTCCAAGCCGAATGTACCAATGGTTTGAATAGCTAGATGCTGCAGTGTACACTTGGGTAATTCGAAAATTTTTCATCGAATGAATGAATATCGAATAAATTCGAAAAGGAAGAATTTCGAATAAACGAATATCGAATAAGTTCGAATGAAAAAATTCGAATAAACGAATATCGAATAAATTGGTTCAAAAATTCTCGAATGAATGAATTCCGAATAAATTCGGAAAATCAAAAATATCGAATGAATGAATATCGAATATATTCGAACATTGGAAGTCGAATTTCGAATAAATATTCGAATGACTTATCGAATAACTGAAGCAACCATATCTCAGGCTTGCCAACATATCTGGCTAAAGCCGATCCATTCATAATCGGCACCCTCATACTCCCTAAACCAAATAATGGCTCAAAATTTTTCAAAAATCGCTGAAATCTATAAAATAAATTTCGGTTTTAATCAGCATCCTCTTTTATCCCCCACCCTGTACCAACTCCCAACCTCGTAGCTCAAGATCTTCCAAAAATCGACAAAATCGACAAAGTAAATTTTTATCCATAATCAGCGCCCTCACTTGCCCCCCCCCCCCTGTATCATCTCCCAACCCTACAGCTTTTTTCCAAAAATTGATAAAGTTGGTTGGTTGTCAACTAGTCTCTAAATCAGCCGGACATCATATTCTGCCTCCCATTATTGAGCGATCTAAAGAGAGGCAGTCGATATACACACCGTACGAGTAAGAACCGCATTTGTGCACCTCGATCCTGCGGCTTTGTTTGACAGCACCTTGCTTGTTTGTCACTATATCACAAAGACAATTTAGCAGAGTAATAGCGAATGAAATTGGCTGGAGTTGGAATCTAAAACCGAGAAACCCCGCAACTTGGTGTAAGCATCTGACTATTTCAGCTGAAAGAACTGTTCGGAATCATAGCGCTAAGTGTGCGATTTTTTGGAGCAGTAACGGTGACCACATATAGGGCTTATCAAATTGAGTGTCGTTTGCACCGGCATCTCCATCTTCGCGCTAGACTCTGCGTCTCTTCCGCAGAGTTGCTCTCTGAACACTTTCCCAGGGCGAGCGTGGGAAAGGCGGAGCATCAATCGACTGAAAGTAATTAGGGAGCATGTACAGACGCAGAGCCCAGCGCGAAGATGGAGATGCTGGTGCAAACGACACTCAATTTGATAAGCCCTATATGTATTTATACGCCACAAACGCTAAAATACATTGCCTGTTCATCGGAGACTTTCGTCTTGTTTAGTATAAGCTAGTCATGGACGAAGGCATGTGGTTTATACCGCGAAGCGAGCACGGATGCCTCTGTAGCCCGAGCAATTGCAGGCATTCCAGTAGCGACGTTGTTTGCGATAGTCAAATTGTCCATAACTTATCGTAAGCAGATTCTAAAAGTACAAAAAGCAGGGCATTTCTCTATTTAGAAAGCTGTACACGCTATACATTTGTGGTAAGCTGGCGTTACATTTAAGGACATCTTGTAACTGGCAAGTTGCGTACGACTATCGCGTGAAGTATCTGCGAGGCCTGTCATAATCAAAGCTCGCATTTCTCAATGTGGACCTTCTTCGTCCAGCTTTAGCGCCATAGTAGATGCTGACAGCTCCTAGTTTGAAGTGCCTGCAAGCCGCCTAAAAATCTTGGATGCACTGTGATAACAGAACTATCATGTACTATTGAACAAAAATCTACTGCAAGGTGATATAACTGCAAAATTCAGCAACTGTCTAATCCTCCACTACAGCTGCAGTGTCTTTCACTCAAAATATACCAATCGCGAAAAATCTCAAAGTTAAAGGATAGGAGCAATGTGCAGCATGAGATTTACAAGCAAGAATGCTCACTAGTGTGGACCATTGCTTGCCAAAAGAATGAGCAATGCAAAGAAAGAGAAGCAGGCATGTCAACACATTTCCAGTATATGAACTGGGAACAAGAGCTCCAATTTGATAGCTGTTTTTGCTGATTTGATTCCAATATCAGGGCGAACTATTTCATTGATCGAAAAAGCATCAGTTAAATCCCACACCTATTTTTACTGTCGCAAGCAGTCGGAGGAATGCGACACTTTACAGTTCAAAGGTCATAACGGTTGCAAAAATGCATTACCGAGTTTTGCGAAAAAAAATGCGAACGAAGTGAGCTTGATACTCAGCAGTTGGCTCTGCAACAAAGTCGAATAATTTGAATACGGAGTTCATTTGAATACGAATTCGAATAAACATTCGAATAAAACATTCGAATAAAATATATTCGAAACCCCGTTTTTTGATTATTCGAGTTTTCGAATAATATTCGAATTCCTGTTTTTTGATTATTCGAGTTTCGAATTTTATTCGAAAGCCCGTTTTCTCAATTATTCGAGTTTCGAATATTATTCGAAAATGGAAGAACTCCGAATATCGAATTTCGAATACGAATATATACGAATGTTTTATTCGAATGATCGAATTTCTATTCGATTCGGACCCAAGTGTACTGCACTGGCGTTTGAAGAATGCATTGCTGAATGTCAGGCTCTGAAAAAGTTTTGATAGGATGTTCTTGCACTGAATCCACGAGTTTTACTGTACTGAAAGTTAGTGCCAAGTTGTACAGATTTACATCTTTCAGACCAGTGCTATAGCGGTGTCGTTGGATTTCCATCGAATTTTTCGATTCCAAAAAAAACTTCCATTCAAGAGCAGAAATCACACGCACATGTACGATGCGGAGTTTAAAATAACCGCCTACTGGTGTGTCCTAAGCTAGAATCTACGTACTGTTCTAAGGTTCTCACATATCGCATACCAAGCAAATCTTTCTTAGGGTTCCTTCATACTACGCCGCAGGACGCAGCGTACGCGGCGTGCGCTGCAGGAATCGCCCTGAAAATATATGTTTACTGCAACGCCTTTTCGCTGGTTATGTATGTATCTCTATATCTCCTGCACGTTCACGTTCATACATACATAACCAGCGAAAAGGTGTTGCAGTGAACGTATATTTCAGAGCGATTCCTGTGGCGTACGCCGCGCACGCCGCGTCCTACGGCGTAGTATGAAGGAACTCTTAGGGTTCCTTTATACAATGGAAGTATGGTTTGGAGGAACCTTTAATTGCCATTCGCTCAAAACAAAACCTTTGTTTGGAGCTCATGCATGGCTAATTTGGAAATGCGCTTACCACATCGAAAACTAAGGTTTTTCCTGAGAGAATCTCGAATGATTTTATGTGAGGTGCACTGACACTGCATCAAACCAATAGGTGTTACTATTTCCAGCCACACTCGGCACCACCCAACCTAATTCCACAAGGCAAGAGTGTTTGTGCTTCGGTGCTGAAATGCTGAATTTCGAGGTTTTCAGGTACAGCCTCGTCGGTACTCGTCAAAAATAAGTTGTGATGGTTTCTCCTCAAATCCTCTTCGCACCAGGGTGAAAAATGCCAAAGGAGAAAAAACATTAAAAAATGACACCTCACTTGCTTGCCGTTTGATGTTCTATGAGACTGAGAATGCCCAAATATGGAGTCTTATAACAACAAGAAAATATTTTTTGAAATGTGTCAAAAAGCTGATCCAAAAATTGCATTGTGTTGCACTTTGTTTCTCTCTCCAATTTTACCGAAACTCTTCCAAGAGTTCAAGAATTGCTAAAGAGTAGCCAAAGTCAGGGTAAGTAAAACTATTGGTTGGAGAGTTCGACGACTAGTCAAACATTTGTCAGGGAACTCAGAACAAAAACACACTGCTAGAAGAAGAAGAATGTCTGCCTAGAACACCTTTTGTAGCGTTGCATATCATTATTTTGGATCTGAGTGTAGATCTGAAAAACAGCACGAACTTTCGGACCAACCTAATATTTTTACTTTTGACTATATTGAATCATCCCTGTTTTAAAATCATTCCTAGTAATGTTCGATGTCACTGCATCAAGAATGAGTGTGCAATATGCAGAATAACAATTAGTTTTTTATTGTATTGTATCCGTCTCATGAGTTTGAGTGATCAACAACATGTGAAGGAAGTTTACGCTTGATTAATGAAAAAGAAAGCTAATGCATCACCTCTTATAGATATTATCATAATCATAGCTTCACGACAAATAAAGTTGTGACGCAGGTGAAGAGGAGTTTCGTAAACTTGATGTTCGATAAGCAATCAACAAAGTTGTAGCGTATATGTTGACGACGGATAGAATAAGCACGATAATGGAAAGAATGTCGGTGAGCCATCGTGGCTGAGCCCACCGTTCATAGTGGTCTTCAACAAAAGCCTTAGTAAACTAGAAGTAGCAGTTTTGCTAGTCGGAGAACCTTGTTCCTTTTCATTAGCAAAAATGTTATACATACCACGTCTTTGACCAGCTTTAGGTAATCGCCAATCGATGGCAGCACGGCGGGATTGTCCATATTGTAACCTTGTCAAGAGTTTGAGGATGTATAGAACGACTGAAATAGCCTTATGTAGGCTGCACTTAGAGCCAAATTCTCGTCATTCAAATACGCGTAAGTACTGTAGAGTACGAAAATGGTTTCAAGACAGCGATGTGAAAGTAGTTAGTGCGGTTTGGAAAATCAACCGTTTAGTCACATTGCAGGTGTAGCAATGTGTATTCTGCGAAATGTCTCTGGTCTAGTGAGCAAATTATCATGAAGAGGAATTGAGTATTCACACAGTACAAGGTACAGAGAATGGAGAATTTCTAATAGGCTTTAGCTACTTGTACGTATAGGACTTATTAAAGGCAGTGGCTCGAGAAAATTGCGAAAGCGACTTTTCGCCCCTATATGGCCTTCTGGATCCGCTGATCCCGAGAGTGTGCTTGAAAGGTAAAAAAAGTGCTTCTTCGGCGTCTTTCGGCCTTGGAGACTGTTGAGGGGTTGGGCGAGGGATGCACGCCAAAAGCAGCGATTGGCAGCAGGATACTGTAACTCCACCCATTCTGGCGGCAATTGGCTGATTGACGCAGGCACCAATCGCGACTCACTTAGCGATTCCTCGCCCATCCCCTCCACCAATCTCCAGGACATGAAAACGCCATGAAAAACACTTTTCGACTTTTCAAGCACAGCCCTAGACTCAGTGCATCTAGGAGGCCAACAGGGATGGAAAGCTCGTGATTGCAAATTTCCCGAGAAACTGCCTTTAACACAGGAAATGCGCACTCTTCTCACGAGGAAGAGTTCTCAAGTCAGTTCGACCAACCCGGATGAGTCATATATCACCGTAACGGTCTCGAAACGCTGATTCCAAATCTACTTTCTTTTTCTGCGAAGCGACTTTCCGAGAGAAGCTATGAGCGTTTAAAAGTCTAGATTTGTCATGTTTTAAGCGGCTTAAATTGGCGAAACCTGTACAATAACACATAAAAGTGATTAATCAGTTTTGTATCGAATATATTGATTACAAGGACGAAACACAGATAATGAAATTCTGTTAGGTGTTGTTTTACATCTTTCAACTAATTTTGAGCCACTTTGAACATGACAAATTTAGACATTTAAACGCTCATAACTTCCTTCGGAAAGTTGCTCCGCAGAAAAGGAAAGCAGATTTGAAATCAGCGTTTCAAGCCCGTTACGGTGATATATGACTCATCCAGGTTGGCCGAGCTGAATTGGGAACTTTCCCTTGTCAGCTAATAAGCGCTTGAGTAGACCAATTACGTCATTCACTCCAAAGTATAAAGCTGCCTTAGATTATTTTTCTATTTGACAATAAGATCTGAACGATATCCCGGAGAAGAACAGTTATCCGAACGACGAAACAAAGTTCTGCTTGCAGCATTCATAATATGACGGACTTGAAATCATCAAACAACGCTTGACTGTTTCTTGAACCAAGATTGAGCAGCAAAGAAGCATTTCCAATGGAATACCGCGTTAACTGGAATACTTATGCTTGTAATTATAGCAGCTCTGCAGTTTTGACATGATGCAGATGAGCGAATTGTGAACAAAAGTTAACACTGATTTCTGCTGTCGGGTCTAATTTTAGGGTAGCTATGAGAATGCTGTCACTTTTTGGTGTTATAGTTTAACTGATACACAGTAAGTAGCATAAGAGTAGCATCATTGATTTTGCGGTCATCGTCCTCATAGACTGATATCTTCTTTGGCACAACCTTTTGAGCGAATTGGAGCTGCCAGATAACAGACAGTTTGAGCTTTAAAAAACTAGTTGAAAGACTTTCGAAAATAAGCTGAAGGACGTAGCAATCTACCTATCATAAACATGTTTCCGCACCTGTTCTTGGAATTTAGATAAACAGGTAATTTTTTCTCAAAAAAAATTCAACAACGCAGCTGATCCACTTCCTTAATTCTGGAAATGCCACCTATCATCCGAACCCGTGCAATAAAATCAAGTTCTGACCTCCTCTCTTGTGCTGATCGGTCCCATGAAGCATTACAACTTTCAAAACAAAAATTTCCAAAAATCAGTTTTCTTTTGCTGATGTTACTTTTCCAATCAAACTGGCAAATCACCTTCTCAGAAAATATAACTTTCCAAGCAGAAGATCGATCAGCAAGAACTTTTCTTAGCCAGAGTGGGTTAGAAATGCTATGACCCATATCCCTCACTTTCTCAAAATTGTATTTTTATAGCAAAATGGCGCTAATGAGCAAATTAGTTCAAAGTAGCCTCGCGATGCTGTATGATCTCTTTAACTTGCTGCTGTCAACATATTTTAGTGAAAATCATATTATTACGCAGCGCCCACAAGTGAGGCAAAAAGGCAATTTGATGAGTTTGTGAATAAATCCCCTTCCTTCTTCATCTCACCATTTTATCTGAATTATGAATCTGATGATAAAGTCAAGGACTACGATGAGGAAGGAGTTGTAGATAAGCTTGAGGGCTGCTATCCAAGACTAGCAGTGGTCTCGATACCATTTGTCTTCAAGCACTTCTCGATTTAATCGCAATTTATAGTTTCACTTTGGTTATGATCTCACATGTCTAGACTTTTTTTGAAGTTCGTATCATGGCAGCTGTGGACTTCAAATCAACATCGAGGTAAACATCATTACTCATTACTGTCAAAAGCATGGACTTTCAAACAATAGATATGATTACCGACGATTTTGATAGATATCGTATCGGTCTACTCTAATATATTCTCTACGAAGAAATAAAATAAGTAGGCTTCAAATTGCGGTCGATTTGTGCGCAGCAATGGCGGGATTATTCATTATTTACTGTTACACATAAAACAAGTCGAGTTTTAGTACACAAATTATATTGTACAAAACACCTGACATAACAAAATTTCTATAGGATACAAATTAGCTTCGTGAAAAGTTGAGCCGCAAGATTTTGGATTAGCATATTATCATAAAAACTTTGGCATTCTAGGACTCGGTCGAATATACGACTACTCAAACAATCGAATAATTGCGCGTGGAAATAACTATTCGAGTTGAAATAATTTGCTACTATATAAAAGTCAATTCTGTTTTCTTACTGCACTTTCGACGAATTGGTGACTATCTCCAATTTCAATTCGGAGTGAGCAATCGTATTCATAAGTTCTAATTTGATTCGCCAGCTTCTACCAAACGCAAAATTTTATCTGACTCAAATTGTGAATATACAATTACATCGCAAGTTGTGCTTGCAGTACCTGCGACCTAGGAATGCACTCAATGAAAAAATGACAAACAGAGAGAATCACAGCTCAACCTAGAAGATGCAAAAGTATACTAAATCCCTTCACGATTCGGGGTTAACGCTAAGAATGCACGCACTGTGCCGACAAAGTGCCTTGAAGCAGGGACATGGCTTAGAGACGCAAGTTCTCTTCTCAGACAAATCACGGGAACTTCCCGAGAGACAAGCCAATTTGCCAAACTTTCCGAGGGTTTCATTTAGCACGTAAGTGAATGGAGCCATAAAACTGGGAACTTCCCGAAAACTTTGACGTCAAAACCAACACAGCTAGGAACTTTCCGAGGAAGTCCTCGGAAAGTTTTGCAAAACGCAGAACCTCCCGAGGATTTAAATCTAAGGGAACTTCCGCAGAGCTGTTTTGCAAGTTAGCAAAACATTCCTGTTTTGCTTGTTTTGCAAGCAAAACAGGACTGTTTTGACCTGCATCATAATGATAAGATTGGAGTTTGATAAGCTAAAGCTTAAGGTGCTTCATTTCTGTCTATCACCGTCTGAAGGATAGGTAACTTTTATAATATCGATACCTATCTATAGTATACGTCATCCTTACGTCACCTCAATGCGATGTGTGTTAAGGAACACAAATTGAAATTCCCGACCACCCGCTGGAGTCCCACCGTGCCATACTTGCTAAAATTTGACGAAAAACTGCTTGTTTTTCATGTTACATGCTCTTTTGTTTCATTATAATTCTAAGCACGGTCTAAGTTTCGATGATTTGTCGTCTTTGTAGATCCTGCATGCCGTTTTGGATCGAACATCTCAAAATTCATCACCTTTACTTTTTGGTAAGGGAAAGCAGATTAACAATTTTTCAGGATTTGCAGTAAGTCTGCTTTCTTCAGCTGCCGTATGTAAAAAGAGTAGAATACCTCTCAAGGACCGGGCATACTTCACGCGATTTCACTCGCGACGCGATTTGGCAATATTCAACTCTCCATAACTTATTGAAAGCACCTTTTTGATGTATAGAAGATATCGCATTTCATCAACCCACGTAGTGTGCATAGTGTGTGTAACCTACGCAATTAATAGCCCTATCTTCTGTACATTGAAATGTGTTTACAATGAGTTATGGACGGTTGAAATATTGCCAAGTCGCATATGGTAATATGGTATATAATATGGTATATAGTATATACCATATGGTATATGGTATATAATATATATAGTATGGTATATAATATATACAGGGTGTCCCAAAAAATGTTAACACTGTTTGATCGTTGATAACTCCCTTGCTTTCAAGTCCTTCGCCGTGCTTCAGGTATCAATTTGTAGAGCGAGGATAAACTTAGATTTGCAGTATCGAGCGAATCATCTAACTCTCCTCGTTACCGTAGAATTACGGTAGGAAATTTGACAAGGATTTTAAGCCATTAAAGCCCACTTTCTGCTTTGAAACAGAGCCAAACAAGCCAAAAACTCTTGTACTATGGTAATGAAAGCCGCTGATTTTGGATATGAAATTTTCATTTCATTATGATACTTCTTTTCAAAGTTATCCTAGGTAAAGTGTAATAACTGACTACCCAGCATGTGTCAAAAATGTGATTACACCGTCAAAAAAGCTGAAAACACTCGCAAAAAGTTGTGTAGTAAAATCAGCGTGCGCGAAAACCCTAGTACACGATTTTTCAGATTTTTTGAAAAAAATTTTGTCAGAGGGCATATTTCATGACGGTTCCACATGCTGGAATTTCCTGCCGTAATTCTACGGTAACGAGGAGCGTTA